TATTCTGAAATTTAAAGATATAAATTATGTTAGTTTTATTGAATTTCTTAAAAATAATGCATTTTCTATTTAAGCATTTCGAACTGCAGTCAAAACTTATTATTATTTTGCAAAAACTATATCTGGCATATAAATAATTTGACAAATAGGTTCAAACTTGTTACAGTATAGAATACATTATTTTTTCTCTCTCTGTATTTTAGAAGTAAATGTTTACAGCCTAAATCTAAATATCACTTTCCAACATATTTGATTGTTCAGCATTAGGGCAGAAAAGGGCTCACCAAATGTGAGGAAAGCAGAACTCCTTTGCTCTCCTGCTAATTAGAAGTGTGTAAATTTACATGGAAAGTGAAATAATAATTCAGTCGATCTTTAAGGTCATACAAGAATGGAAACTGGCTGTATTAAGTCACATGAAATTAGGACTTTACTCAATGACCAGTGAGCTTCAGTTAAATATAATTGCCAGACGTATCACTACTTTCAGCATTGTCAGAGGTAAATAAGAAATTAATATCAGTTGTTTCTTTGCTGACTGTTAAGGTTCGTGTGTATATATATATATATATATATAAATACTTCTACAGAGTACTGGGCTGTTTGCATATCTGATACACACCACACTAAAGAGGCATCATAAGGAGTAACATACGGTCTTGACACGCTTCAGTTAATATTCCACATGATGGAGGGTGTGTGTGTTTACATGTGTGAACTTGACCAGATTGATTATTGTCCACACTGCAGTCCCTGGAAATGAGTGCAATTTTATAATGAGCAGTGAACAATTTTAGATTTGCCTCCATCTGCAGAAAAATCTCAGTACATCCTGTGCTCTTTAACTGCCCTTCTCTGCTGGAGAGACTGCTTAACTGTTGCTAATTTCCTACTGTTATCAAATTCTAGGGAACTTATTTACATTTTATGTCACACATGTCAACGCATTGCCATATGTTCAAAATATTATTGGACAGGAAATATAAGTTTTGCATATTTGTCAAATCAGGAAAATGATTTGTTTTTTTATATATTTTTAAAAGCAACAAATGTACTACTGTTTCAAAGAGTTGAAGAATCTTTCCTATAAAGACAAAACAAATCAAAAGAAAACATTTTAAATAATTTTAAACCTCTTTATTAATAGCATAAAACCGAGGATGCACATCCCCCTCAAAATAACATCCCCCACTTTGAAACATTTGGCAGAATGCCACGGCCACATTTGCTGTTCTCTGTCCATTCTGTTTGGGGTTGAGCTACTTTGTAAATCGTATTACTGTTGTCTACACAAATATCGAGAAGACTAGCTGTCATGTCACTATGAAGTATGTGACCTAAATGCAAATAAGAAGCAAGAGGGAAGCAGGTGAAAATAAACTGTTGCGTTAAAATTGTAGATAAATCCAAAAACCTCCAAGAAAGGAAGATTGTAATAGAAAATACAGAAATGTGGCAATAGCAAAAACAGAAAGGGAACACAGACTTAGTAGTAGTATTTATTTAACTGCTGGACAGATGAACAGATTCAATAAGCAGATAAGAGAAGGGAAGTGCAGGGAGCTGAGACACTGGTTCCATGTAAATCAGGAAACACAGAAAAGGATCACAAAAAAAAAAAAAAAAATTCTAAGTTACTGGAATATAATTGAGAAGTAAACACAGCTATGGAAGAGTTAAAACGGAAAGCCAAAAGAAAACAAAAAACATGTAAAAACAGAATATAATGAGATAAGCCTTGCAGCTCTCATGGAAGCAAACAAACTGAATCCCTCAAAATTAAACATGAACTATTTCAACAGGTTTAAATTTTTTGTACGATATTAAAAATATATCATTTAACTTTTACTTAAAAGGTATTCATGGTGGCCTGTTACTTAATTTCTTGAACTAACTGTGTTGTGCAGCAACAGAGCTTTGAAAACCTTAAGGGTCAGGGTTACTTTTGCAAGGCAATGTTACTTAGGAATTATTTCCAAAGAAGTAAAAAGCTCTGTTTGCTGATGGAAAATACACAGTTGTTATGTCGCCCATGTTTTAGGTCACAAATGACCTGAACAGAGAATGAACCCAAGACTGGGGTGGATCTAGGGGGACAGGAGAGGGACAAGGCTGTTCAACATTCCTCCCTGTTCTAAGGCTTTGCCCCCCTCACCTACCCGAATTATAATTATTCTTGGTACAAATATATTACATGTGATTGTCTTTTTTAGATGTCTTGCCGCACAGCACAACAATCAACTACTTAGGAATTTGTGAAACATATGAATAAAATGAGTCCTTTCTCATAATTTAAGTTCTTCACTTGTTTTTTCTTCGTTCAATAACTCAAATCTAAAATTGTTTCAATTGAAGTTTCATCAAAAAGAAAATGACACACTAAAGCATTGTTTTTTTGTTCATTTTTTAAGATTTTGTTTACATACAAACTATTTTATGTATTTTCATAAAGAAATCCAGCCAAACCACACTGCCTGGAGAGCTTTTTACCTCTTGTGTCCCCGCATGTAAAGTTCTCTAGAACAGCCACTGAGCAAAGAAAATTAAGTACATATGAAACAGAAAATGATTAGGCTGAGGTTAAAATACTAAAAGTATTATACAAATACAGCATTTTAAAATTCATATAAATGTTTTTGTCTTAATTACACACCTATATTTTGTATTAATTTTCTAATTAACATGTCTTCATCCACATATTTCTGCACTTCCTTTTTGGTAGAGACAAGATCCTGTTGCCTGGGATGAAAGATTTGCCAATATCTCCAGAGATGTCTTGAACATCCGTTATACTCTCTTGCCTTACCTGTATGAGCTGATGTTTGAGGCACACACTAAAGGAAACACAGTTGTCAGACCGCTACTGCACGAGTAAGCCAAAATGCTACATTTGTTCACACTTTTGTTCATCATAGCTTGCAATAATATTTTCAATGCTTCTATTGTATTTATCTTTCAATGAAACTATATTGTTTCATTTTTCGAACCTATTCAACGAAAAAAAAAAATAAAATTGTTGAATAGGTAGGGATTTGAGAAGTTCACTACCAAGAGCTAAAATGAAAAAAAAGCTTTGAACTCTAAGAGATTTTATTTCTATCTCAAAGCCATTTGTCAGAGGCCTGTGGTTGCACTTGGCAGCTCCCAGATGAGACTGTTGGAAATTGTTCGAAAAAGATGTATTTATTCATCTGAAGAGACTCCTATAAAGTCACAGATGGTATTTAAGAAGCTGCCAGAATGAGTCTGGCAGGGTTATTTGGCTTGCATCTTGAAATCACTGAATTCTGGTATAAGTGTTTGAACAGCGTTGGGGCTAAGGATGCATGAGTAAGCTTTGGTATCAAGCCTTCTCTGTCAGGATTAATAGCTTCTTTGCAACTTTTTCACAGGTTTGTAGAGGAAAAAGCTACATGGGACATCCACAGACAGTTCCTCTGGGGACCTGCTCTCCTTATCACCCCTGCTCTTGACAAAGTATGATTAACCCTTAATCCAGTAATCTTTAATTTTTCTTAATCAGACAGATTTTTTAAAATACAACACACATTGCCTCTTATAAAAAGATATATGTTTATATTCTTATTTTGGGGGCTTCTTTTTGTGTAAATAGGGAGTTACAAAAGTAGAAGGCTATCTTCCAAATGCACGCTGGTATGACTACCACACGGTAAGTATCTGGCTAAAATTCCCCTTTAAGACAGACAAACTAATCTACATGATATATTTTATGGTTATTTCTATGAGTCAGGCTGTGCACAAAAATTAAAATGTGGCCTTTGGTTAACAAAATTCTCTATAGCAGAAAGACAACATTGCTAAAAGAACTGCAATATCTGTTTATCAGACGCTGAAAATTTAAGCTAAAATTCAAGAGGCATAGTCGCATTCTGCCTCCTTTATAACCTTTGACCTCAGTATTATGGTTAAAGCCTAAGCAACTTATCGTACTAATTCAATGTAAAATAAGGACCAAGAATAAAATAAGACTTTTGAATCAATAGTATAAGGATACAAAATTCATAGTTGCAACCACTCTAGCATTGAATAATTCTCATTGTGTTTCTCAGGCCAAATATGTTGGTGTTCGTGCCCAAAAAGTCTCTATGGACACACCATTAGATCATATTAATCTTCATGTCAGAGGCGGATACATCCTACCCTGTCAGAAACCAGAGAACAACACAATGTACAGGTAAGCCTATTTGCATTTCTGACACATTGTTACAGCACACAGTGATACATTTTATTCACATATTCAGTATAAATAAATAAAAGCTTGCAACTTGATTATATTAAATGCATTCTGATGTTGATATTAATTGAAAACATTGTAGTAAAGACCAAAGATCTTATAATAAATTCTGTAAAAGTTTAAAAAATGTTTTAAAAACTTTTAAAAAACAATCCACTGGACTTGGTTTCCAATATTTGAAGACATTTCGCTTCCCCTACAGGAAGTTTTCTCAATTCAAATGTCTGGATCCGCAGTGAATTTGAGTCTTTATATAGACAAGGCCTTGTATTGCTTGGAAACATGCAAATTGAAACCGACGACTGGGTAGTACAATAAATTTTAATAGATAATATTATAATAAAATTTACTGTTACTTTGTGTAAATATAACATTTTCAAACAACAGTCCATTATTTGCTATTGGAACTCAGTTTGACCTGTGCTAAGTCACATGAACATGTGGGACAACAGAGTGTCACTGAGTATGACTGAGAGCGACACTAACTGCTCTGCAGCAGTTTGATCAGGTGGATCCTCTTAGCAGAGATGGAAATAAATTTAGCCCAAAGCAGCAGGTATAAATAGAGAGGATGCTGTAGCTCTAACCCTTTCTTTCTCTTCGCTTATAGTCGAAAGAATCCTTTGGGACTCATTGTTGCCCTCAGTGACAGTGGAACTGCCAAAGGATCATTCTTCTGGGATGACGGGGAAGGAATAGGTGAGAAAAAAGTCCCAAAGGAGCTTGTGTTTTCATGTTTTGTGTTTATATTTATGATGTACTTTTTCATGAAAATCAAAATATATCAAACTCACACAAACACAAAACTAACTTTGCATTGTGATACTCCATTTTAGAGGTTGCTCCAAACCTCTTGCGTTAGATTGCTTGCTCGCTCTATTGATCCTAATATATATCATAGCATGGGCTGTAAATCGTTTGAGTCTTTATGAAGTTCTTTTAATAAACTGAAAGCTTAATTAGAGTCCACATGTTATAACCTCTTTATGCTGTTGCAAAATGCAAAACATTGATCATATTCAGCATGGTTGTTTTTTAACTCTTACTGTCCTCTTCAAGTTGTAGTTATGTCATGTGCCCCATGTGAGCACCACACAATAGAAAAAAAAACCCAAATTAGGGCAAATCAGTGAATTACAGTATCATTATTAATGAAATGTGTTACGATTAGTAATTTATTTCATATAAGATTAAGAAATCTAATATTATTTTAAATTCAGTACACACGAAGTACATAATTTCAAGCTTTCATTCTTGTCAAATTCATCAATACGGCTAACATATATCTATAAATCTATAACTTTCTCACAAAACTAAGTAGATTTAAAAGTGTTTCAGCCGATAATTGTTGGCTTTCCTAAAAAAAGATGTCCATGTTCCAACCATATCGTTAGGTTAGTTTTCTATTACACTTTTTCCTTTTTTTGATTTTTATGATTAATGCAGCACTTTGAAAATCCAGTTTGTTCCGTCTGATTTGATCAACAACTGTTTTGTTCATTTTTATCTTCCATTTGTCATGATTTAATTTTCATCAGCTACAATTTTTTTATAAATCCATACTATGAGGAATGAGTTTTATATCTCAAAATATAATAGTATCTTTTTTTGCATGGAAGTTGTGGTTGTAAATAAACTTGCAGCGTGAAATCCAATAGTGGTTTTTGAATATACCTGAAAATGTAGGCTTTGTAAGGCAAAAACCCTGAGGTGAACACCTGGTGTGTTAGTCTAATATCTCTAACCTACTTAGACCCTGAAATGCGAAGGGCTTCTGTGGAGAGATGCATTTCTCTATGGCAGGATTGTTTGCGTTGGATAAAAACTGAGAAACTGATAGTAACAAAAAGCTGTTATAGTAATTTCAAGTGTCGCTGCCTGGAGAGATGCTCTCCATCACTCCTCTTTTATCTTGTCCCTTGCTCCTTTCTCATGTGTCTATCTGCCATGTAGCCTGTCTGTCTTTTTATGTTTTCCTTGCCTTTTTTAGTCCTGTAGTTACCTGCATTATGTAGTATTCTACAGTTTTTATCCTGATGGGCTTTGCTTTTGGATCACTCTGCTTTCATTCAGATTGTCTTCTTTCTCATTGACTGTCAACCCCCATTCATACAAACAACAAAAATAAAAAAAAAAAATCAACTCAATAGTTATCCTAAATCTCCCCTATGATAGTCATTCTTAATTCATTACAGATTTTTTCTCCATCATTGTCTCTGCTCTGGTTTTAATTTGCTTCCACTTTTTCCACCAACAGACACAGTTGCCAAATCCCAATATCTCCTGGTTGACTTTACAGTTAATGAGGTAAGTTTAAGTGACAAAAATAATACAATTCATGCCTCTAAATTCTTCTGTGACGTTCAGATGTTTCCATGCTCAGTAATTTACTAAAGTACTAGACTAACATGTTTATAGGCTGTTTTGATATGACTCTCCTTAACTGATCAGTGTGCTCTTATTAATGTTATTTATTTCGGAAGGAAGTACATTTCTTTGGAAAGGATGAGAAGCATTTTGATGTAACAGATTTGCACAATGTACATTTTACTCCTATTCAATCTTGTAGTTCATACAAACAAAAATTTGATGAAAGCTTAAATGTAAAAACTACATGTATAAGACTAAGTTAACAATATTCAGTACATGTAGGTGTAGCTGACAAAGAAACATTAGAGACAGTAGACCAACAACTTGGATCAATAGTAGGGCTGAATGATTGTGCAAAAAAATCAACATTGCGTTTTTTTTTTCTAACAAGATTCCGATTTTATTGCTTTTTTCCTTTGCAGTAAGCACAACCATGTGGATGTTTTACTTCAGGGTTTCAGTTTTTCCATGGCCTTGAAAGCCTGCTTGTCCAGAATAAAGTGCTGCAGGATTTTGCTGTGACATTTGCATGAAACAATTCTTAATTCTACAATTATGCATAGATCTAGTTGCTAGCTGGAAGTCTATATTCCCTTCTGTGCAATAGCATACCCGCTTTAATCGTATTACAGCCACCTAATGGAGAAATTTTGTTTAGTTTTTGTTTTACTCGTGTTAAATGTTTTGTGACTAAAATTAAGTGACTGCGATGTGAAAGTTGCATTTTCGTAAATTGCGATTATATTGCAAATACAATTAATTGCCCAGCTATAATCAAGAGGTTACTTTAGTTAGTGTGTGTGAAAACTTTAGTTCAAAATTGCCATGAACATCAAACAACAGTTGAACACTTGGAATGTATAATGTTTGGCATCTGTATAGCAACCTAAATTTGCATACTCATAATCAGCAAAGGGTGCAGAATTTGTGCTAAACTGTACATGTTCTAAAAACCAAATCACCAGAGCTATAGATGGGGTCTTATTATTATGTACTAACTACCCAGATAGTGCATTATGCACTACAACTACATGGCTTACGTGTGTGTTGCGATTACAAGCTTACTGTGCCTGAACGTCCGCCCCAATCACTAAATCCCTCAATCACTAAATAGATTGGCGACTATATAGTGGACTTTATAGTGAACTCAGTTAACTGACCGTTTGGAGAAATGATCACTGCTATTTGCTGTGTTGGTAATGTAACTCCTCCATTTCTCATTGCCTAAACCATCTTGATAATAGTCACCGCTGGGTAGTGACAATGGGCTGCTGTGCCAGCAAATCCAATAATGCTTTGCGAGGAGAGCTCTCCATGTAAAGCACTCCGGGATTTATCTGAACCTTCTTAGGCCATTCTTTTCTTCTCATACACTTCGAAGACTCTTTTTCTGTTATGACCCTTGGCCATGTTAAAAAAAAAACGCAGTGAGACAGGTGAGCTTTAGTGACTATCTGAAAACAAATCTCACCACAGATATACACCTGAAAGGGCGCATGCACAGAAAAACATAGCTAACATGACGAGCATGTAGGACGGCCTTACGTAAACATATCACCAGAATGATTGACAATTGGGGACAGGTATTGAGAATTAGCCTTAGCTAAAATGTTGCAGTGTGTGACATAATTCATGAAACATATTTGTCCCTATGAAATAAACGAATAAATAAATAAATTAGGAGGACCACTTATTTAGATGATCCACCTGGAAATAAAAGATTATCCTCTATACCTTTAAACAGTTTAGAAAAAGCAACATTAAAAGGTTTTAAACCTTGTTTTATAAGAGCGCTAGGTGGGGGCAGTTCTACAGTCTACAGGAAACTTATTCAACATTATTGGAGCCTAAAAATTAAGGCTGCATTTACTGTATTTTGTTCTGAGTCTTGAAATCAGTGATTTGGTTTGATGAGTGAGTGCTTTGTAATCCACACATTTGATTCTAAACTCTATTCTTTGAGCAGTAGGAAACAAGTGTAAAGACCTCTGAACTGGATGGATGTGCTAGTCTCTTGCTTCAGCATTTTAACAAGTTGGAGTTTTCTAATAGATTTTGTGATAGCCCTCTGCAAATAGTAGTCTACTAAAAACATTAACACATTTTCAATGTCCTGTTGCCTAAATTTGGCATTTTATTCTTATGAAAGGAGATGAAACTTTAAAAATCACAGAATTTTTCTAACATGACAAAACAAATCAGTGGCAGAGTAGGTTAGCTAGAAAACGCAATATGTACCCTGCCCTTGAAATACTATGAACAAGTATGAGGCATTATTATTTATTAAAAATTTTATATTGTATCACCGCTATACGATTGAAACTATGATAAGAAATATGTCAATGTCAATGATGTTTTTGTCTTTGTAAATAATCATAAAAATTGGCAAGGTCGTGATTTGTCCTTCACTGTTTACTAAAGGAGAGCAGAATACCCTCTACATCATCCCTGTGACAGGCCAGAGTTTCATTTTTACAAAAAGAAGCCCCATCAAGCTGGCATTTTTCTTTAAAAAGCCAGTTTTCAGATAGCTCTATTGTCAAGGGAGAATGAATTGTGTTTCACTGTGGAAAGAGGACTGAAACAGAGAAGAAAAATATGTTTTAAAAAAATTTTACTCAACCTTACAAGGACATGGTCTCAGAGTAAACTTACTGTTCATTACAGCAGATGTGTAATATGCTTTTGAAGAAACCCTCCACGATGCAACTTGACATAATGCTGTTTATGATACATTAAATATAATTACATACTTTTTTTTTCATATTCTGCATTCACCAAAATAGGCCTGTGTGTTTGATTTACAAGATCTCAGTTCGAGTCAAATGTATAACAATTCCTATCATTGTACTTAGACTTAGACAAATTTTATTGTTATTTTGTTTATACAAACCGAAATATAAATAAAAAAAAAAACACACAGTATCGGGTAACTAAAAGTAGACATAGCAGCATGTGTGTTTCCCTTTTCATGTGCATGTGTGCATATGATAAAAGATGGGAGTCAGTCGGGCAGTAATGTCAATGCTGTCTGGCAGATTAACAGTTCATATTCCATTTTTACTGGGCTTTGAGTGCAAATGTTTACGTTAGTGCATTTGTGAAGGTTGGAAGTTAGAGGATTTGTTTATTTAACTAGTCTTTTAAAAGTAAACATAAATGTTTACATCATATTGTAAAAAATATTCATGCATTTAAACACACTGCATCATTCACATGAGGACTCACTAAGCATGAGTAAACGGCTGCTTTGCAGTAAAGGATGGCAAAGGCTTGGTTCTTTTAACCTTAACTTTTTCCTTTTGAAAAAAAAAAAGAGCCATCTGCCATGGTGACAATGAACTGAATCAATTTTCTTTAATCTACCATTGCCTACTGTGAGGAAATGTAGTTAACTGAATTAAGTAAAAGATAAACGGTTTCAGGGAAGGTAATCCATCACATTACATGTCAACACCTGTCACTAGAGTTAGGGTGTAAAATAAAGTTTTAAGACAATAATTTCAAATTAAATTTAATATAGAATTAAATCATTTGCATGGGAGAAAAAAATTTAGATAAATTGGTAGTAGAAATATGTGTTTGTAATAAAAAATTTTTTTCGCAATCTGCTGCTATAAATGGTGTCACAAGTTGTATTTTATCAGTTTAGCAATCTAATGTGCATAATGTGTTTTATTGTATTTGTTGTTCTGAATAAATAGATAATTATCTTCTTACTTTCCGATTCTTCCTTCAGAGGACCTTGACCAGTAAGATTATACACCATCAGCTAAATCCTGCTGATCAGCTGAAACTGGGTGTGGTGAAGGTTTGGGGAGCAGGCACCACCAAGGTTACAGGAGCAACCATTACAGACTCGACAGGAAAGGGAACTCCACTCACTGCGCAGCATAACAATGTGACTGAGGTAAGAAGTGTTTTAAAAAACCTTAAGTTTGGTCATAACTTTTATCTTCTGCTTCCACATGAGTGAATTTGTTTAGTGCTTGTATTATTTTATTTTTGTCATTGTGCAAAGTCAGTAAGCTTCAACATATATGTAAAACTGAAAGTAGATTGGGCAAAATAAAAAAGGAGGAGATAATGCATTTCATTGTTCTCAGGGACATTCTCTTTAGGTGCCTCTTGTTTCCTCTTGTTCTTGTATTAAAAGTTAAGGTTTATAACATGGTCTTACCTGTAAAGTGTAACATTCATATGTACAAGTCGACCTGGAGAAATTTACTCTACTCACATAGATCCAAATTATCAAAAAAAAAGTTCTTTTTTTTTTTTGTCTTATTTTTCTTATAATTAATCTTTACCACAATAAAGACTTGATTAAAATAACATAAGTTCCATTTTAATGCTCCTCTAGGACGCATAAGTTGGCTAAGTTTCTGCTCTAATAATTCAAAGATAAACAAATTAATCAGTTTCTGACACTGTTTCCTGTGCATCACAGTATTTTTTCTCAGCTCAAATATTAGCAGAAACTCACAACTATTTGAGTTAAGTGAATATTTGCAAGCCAGTTTGAAATACAAAACAAAAGAAAATAACTCAAGTTTGCAGACTATTTCACATTACATCATATTGTCTTATAGCTGTCTAAAAAATAATTAAAGTTCAAATAATTTTGATTTGTAGTTACTAGTCTTAAATCTAACATTTAATTAATATTTGGTAATGTGGCGTTCTATGAACCAAAAGGGTCGTGGCGCACAGGCATCAGTGAAAATTGGAAAGAATTCTTCATTCAATTCAAGTGTGCTTTGGTGGGATTGGGAATGAAAGAATCAGGGCTTCAAGGTTATGGGAGAGTGAAAAAAGCCCAGTCGTTGTTTTAAAAATATCCAGAGAAGAATTGACAGGAAAATATCAGGTAATGCAAAGATGGTTAGAGATATTGTTAGTAAAAATATTATCTTCAGACACAGAGAGCACAAAATATAGAATGACTGAAGATACTGTATCAAGGTTCTCGTTTTTGGCTGCTATAATTTTTTTTATTTTTATTTTTCCCAATACTGTGTACCTTTACTCTGTGCCAATTTTGGAATATGAAAATACCAAGTGTCACTCTATAAAAACAGCTGAAAAAGCCTCCAATATTCGTATCTTACATTTGAAAAGTATGACAAAATAGATAGAAGCCAGAGTTTAAAAATTCCATGTATAAAAAACCAGTGTTGGGATGCAAAGATCAGCTGTGAATGAGCAAAAAGTACAAACTTTACCCATCTAGAGAGGGGGAGACAAATGATAGAGAATTAATTTGAAGACAAGATGAGACAAGGAAAATAAGAGAAAAGGATTAAAGATTACAGTGCATTAATGTGAGCAACAACAGTATTTTTTATTATGAGACAATCAATTATACATAATGACAGTCTTATTGGTTAACAACTTGAACCAGTGATCTCATGTAAAAACAATGACATATGGAAGTTATATGTGCCCTGGATAAAACAGGGCAGTTATACCGTGCAGAAAACTGGCTATTGGTACGGTACATTAGGAGAGATATTACCAACTGAGCAGTGTCTATATATGCCCGTCAGTGAAGTAGCTTAAAAAAAAAATAAGGAGCACATTTAGACACAGGCTTGCACAGCTATTATTAAAGCAAATAATATGCAGGAGGCTGGAGATGGAAAAATATACAACGGATATGGTTAAAATGATGTAATCATTATTTTTACACATCTAGCACATAATTTTCTGGATCATTCAGTCTTCTTTTCTCTAATTTTCTTTCCTTAGGAGCTGATTATTGATGCTACCTCAGCAGCTATCCCTGTGCATCTAACTTTCACACTAACATGGAAGACGGGCTGAGGGCCATACTATGGCCGTTGAGTACACTTTGATCCAATGAGACAAATTTTTATCCTAAATAAAATGTATTTTATGCAAATAAACGATATATGATGTCAAATGTAATATTTTAATTTGTACAATCAGTAACAACTCTGTTAAAAAGCAGTTTTTTTTTGTTTTTTTTATGAATGTACCTTAAACTGTAATGTGAAGAAACAATATCTGATAAATAAAAACTGTAAGTGTTGCCTTAAGTTTCTGTTTTCCATTTTTTCTATTTTCTCTGAAACACACTAATAAGTTCAATATGCTGTACTACATTTGTGTGAAGAGATTTATTGTTACAATGTTATTTATATGCTGTCATATACAGTAGATTCAAATAGATACATCTCTTCTAAGTAGTGAGCTTTTAACATTTCCAGAATAATTACATTTTCACTAATACAAAACAATAATTAGCTTCACAGAGGGATAGAGTAACAAAAAAAGAAAGAAAATATCCTGAAGAGTAACACTACCTCAACAGATCTATTCCTCAATTTGGAGTAACAAGTAGTCAAGGGAGAATTTTTCCAATTATGTTATTTTCAAAGACTGAACTTGTCATGGTTTTAAGGTGTTTGGCCCACATGCAGACACAGTCGGAGAACAAGGAGAAGTTAAACATTTTTATTTAGGCTATACAAAGATAAGAATAGCTCACTATGTGAGCTGCAGGTGAGGTTCGGAACATCAGTTAGGAGCACTGCGGGAGGAAAGAGGGAACTGATTAACAGTAGTTGATTTGGGGAGATCTACCCTGATGCTGCTTCGCTTACCGCCAGGTAAGGATAACCTATCCGGGGAGGGTGAGTGGAAGGGGGGATTCTGTGACTTACTGCTTTCCAATGGGAGGAGATGGCTGAGCGAAAGGTGGGCTAGTGGGTGGAACTTAGGCGGGAGCCCGAGCAGCACCACAGCGGAAACAGGTTCGAAGAGTAGCTGAAGGAACCAGAGTGAATCCGTGAACGGGGGTCTCTTGTCCGGCTCGGTACCACGGAGGGGGCAAGAGGGGAACGCCAGAGTAGAATCTGAGCAGCAGGCATTAAGGAACCAGTCTTCAGTGCACGGAGACAAGACAGGTGAATAATCCAGAGCACAACAAACTGAGAGAGACAGTTGACAGAATTAGAACTAGGAATCCAAAACATTAAACTCACAGGAACAAAGATCTGTCGATGGAACGGAGGCTTAGGCGTACCACAATGACACTCTGGCATCCTTCAGCTGACTAAAAACTCCTTTTAAGCTCCAGCCAAAGCAGCCCCATCAAGCCGCAGGTGCGGGCCACGCCCACCTGTCAACAACAGCCACCTGTGGAAGAGAATTAGCAGAGCATGGCACACAGAATCCTGACAGAACTAAAAATTATTAAATCATTTAAAAAATGTGAAATTCAGGCCTAGGGACCCTTTTATGGAAAATAAATGTCCAACATAAAATGTATAAACCTATTACTTACAGAAGTGAATGTACTGCCAAACATGTTTGTTAATCTGCTTAAACTTGTATATAAACTTTTATGAAATCCAAAACTATGAACTATGAAGGACAATTTAGAGTCACCTGTTAACCTAAAAGTCATGGTACTCCTAATATCCTAAAATCCGGTCCAACAGATAGCCTTCAGTACTCACTGAAATTAAAACATGGAGCCTATTTCTATACAGCGTAAATTCCGTACTGACCACAGCGTCAGTGGTTTGGCAACCAAACATTACATTAGAGAGAATATATTAGTCAACGGTTAGACTACTGTCTTCTCTGGTGCTCCAGTGCTGCTGACTACTTGATTAGACAGTTGACCCTTCAAGTCTTACAAACTGTGGTGCATTTGTCAGGAAGTCCTTGTTCCCGGCGATTGTTGATACATCTACCTGAGCCTTATGAAGTTTCTCACAAAGTAAGAAAGGCTGAATTGTGTTACATGCACTGGAGAAATGAAAGAATGTGATATTGACAGTACTGTCTGCTTTGTCAAAATGACAGTAGGTGTGTTGAAGCAGGTGTATGATGGTGTCTTCAACTCCAGCTCCATGGTAATAAGTAAAATGCAGGGGGTCCTGATAGCTGCTTGGTTGTTTGGTGAGGTGAACAAATAAGTCTCTTTAGGACCTTTATGATGTGGGATTTCACAGCAGCAGGTCTATAATCACTGAGGACTGTTGGCTTTGGTACTGGAACAAGGCAGGAGGTCATCCACATCACTGGAACCATCTCCAGGGTTGATTTTTTCCCAACCTCACAATTCCTGATTGGTAAGTGGTAGTGAGAAGCTAATAACCCCTTGTTACCCCCTGTATACTACACAATGCAAAGATGCACGATGAGGATTCTTGCATGTCTGGAGAATCAGCCTGAATTTTGATACACCTGTTTTTCATCTTACCAAATTTGGTAAATTAGACAATCGTAGGGCATCAACTTAGATACATTAAAGTATCTACATATCATTAAGATAACATTACAAATTCCAAGTTGAGCAGTGGTTCATGAAATAAGAGGGGACTAGGTAACTGAATCTTAAACAGTGGTTGGTGACTCTACCCTGAGTACATCAGCTCCTGCTCATTTATTTGGATTTTAAATCCCAAGCATCCCTCAGGTTAAAAGTCATTAGTTTAAAATGAAATATTCAGTGTATGGCACTTATGTGGATTAAAATGCTTTGTTATAGATTAAAAACGGATTGGCCCACATTTTTTAGATGACAGAAAACATATTAGTTATAGTTGTTTTAGTTTGAAATTATTCCACCATTGGGTAAAATGAAGAAAACGCATGCTTCAAATGATTGGAAAGACTAAGGCACTTAAGATGAACCTCTTCACTTTCTTTCTTATCTGTTGATATCTCAAATCTATTTAACAAAAGAATCTAAGTGCAACATTTTAAGTGAATAGTAAAGAATTTCAACCCCAGCCCAGTTAAGTATTCTTCAAAAAAATTATTTTCAGATTCAATTATAGAACCATGCCTTGATTTAAGTATATGGCTGGTTTTTATTTAAGCTTTTAGGGTCTATGGTGCAGGTCTGCTCTTGTGTGTTGAATATCAGGTCTTTAAAGGCTAGCTTAACAAAATAAAACCATAACTCATAATACAACAATAGATATCTATGGCTATTGTGCAGCAACACTGTATAATTTTATTTTATCTTTTTGACAGTTAAAGATATTTTCACTCCGCCTTAGAACCTTTTAGGATGTAAGGTTCGTATCAGTGAAGAAAAGAAAAGTTTCATGGGAACAATCCAAATACAGTACATTTATAATGCTTTTCTTCCATACATATCCTAATGCTTTGTAAAAAAAAAAAAAAAAAAAAAAAAAATTTGGTCCAAACTTTTTCCCATACTAGCTATTTTATCCCTAATTTTTAGTGGATAAAAATATTTTCCATGCCTTTTTCATGGAGACTGATCAGACAACATGATTTCAGATGAGTTGCAATTAAGCGCGTCATACTGTAGATGAAGAAGGAAACTAAAACATAAATTAACATAAAAGGGATAATAGAAACCACTAAGAAAATCTGAAGGTTGTCAGAATTGCCATGTGTGTGGTAACGTGTTTGTAAAGTTATCTTTTAAGCTTTTATCTATTTAAAATATTTCATTTCAATCAGTCATTTCATTAGTTTTTATTGTCAGAACTAAGTAGAGTTTAACAACTTTCACCAATTCACCATCAAGGGGCTACAAAATGTTAGAAATAATGAAAGAACAAATCATCTCCAGGCTTGCAGATATTTCAGACATTATTTCTATGATGTAAGCATTTACAGTGTAAGGTTGCACTTGCAAATTTGGCAGTGAAATAATGCATTCTCTAGCAATCAAGTTCTCATTTTACAGACAAAACGAGTCATAATCAATTTGGCATGTTGCATTGTTTCATGTTGAATTGTTTTTGTCATCTTCACTGTTTTTGATGGTGACATTACATTTTATCTGAAGTACTCTCCATATTTATTTCCTCCATATTTTTTTTTATAGGCTGCCACATTTAGCTTACCAAGACAAACACTCGAACAACACACCTGATTTTATTAGCTATTTCACATGTTAAACTCTGTTAACTAATATGCCACTCTCATTCACATAAACCACCGTATGCTGTTCCCACTGCAGCAACTATCTTCTGTTAGAAATTGTAACAGCTGCCTATTAAATGTTTATTATTTGTTTCATAATTAAGCCCCTGCGGTAAAATATCATAAAAAGAGGTGTTTTTTCTTTAAAGTCTTTAAAATCTGCAATCATCTAAAATTCTCTCTTACACATTTAGGGCATAATTATTAAAAATGACAATCGCAATTGTTTTTCTTTTGATTGTATACAGGAAAAAAAAATTATTATAGTAGCTAATGTGTAGAGGATTTTACAATGATTTACATTTATATGAGATCTTCTTGCTATCTGACTTGGCAGTTCTTAGGTTGATTTGAACATTTTACCCATTGGTATATTGATTTTTCACTTATTCACTGAATGATTAGACATAAATAAAAATCAAGCAGTGTCACTTCAAGATGGCCCTGATGGCAATATGGGATAAGGATTGATCTTTTAACTGAATGAAGATAAAATGCCAAAAATAAATACAAACTAAAAGTTATCTCGTTGTAATACTTATGAACAAAACAATATTTTTGAGTTAACAATTGTAAATCAATATATATATATATATATATACAGGTGCTGGTCATAAAATTAGAATATCATGAAAAAGTAGATTGATTTCAGTAATTCCATTTAAAAAGTGAAACTTGTATATTATATTCATANCCATCCCCCACTTCCAGCCGCTTCTCTCCAAATATAAGGCACTTTCTTGAACTGACATAGATTTAAGAAATAGGATCTTCTCAGCTACTTGGCAGTCAAAGACCTGGGTTACTGGCCAATGTTTTTTTTTTTTTGAGCTAGTCTCATAAACGCTCAATATAAAACAGCATTGGTTATTGTCCTGCTTACGTATTACGATTGTGAGTTCGGTGTGTTCAGGACATTGTTAGCCATTCCATTTGGTGGGTGGCGTGATAAGATGACTGGAATAGCAGAACAGATTTTTTTGCTTTTGCTCTTGAATGATTAAAAAGATCATCATAAGAGCACAACAAAACATATATTC